TCGCAGAAGCAGTCCATGACGGCGTAGAAGCTGCCGTCGGGGAGGTCGAAGAGGTTGTCGATGTTCGCGTATACTTGGATGTCTGCGTCAAGATAGATCATCTTCTTGTACTCCACAAACTGCAAGGAACATAGAATTACTACCAGTTGACGGCTTATTTTGCTAAATAAACTATTCAGACTCAAATAGATCTCATTCGCTCCAGATAACTCAATTTTACTAATAAATTTGCTAAATAAAACCGCAACTCATATCCTAGGTAACTTATTATAAATTTATTTGTATACCCCATAAAAGTTTATTATAATTACAATTTTCTCTGCATTATATTCGTTCTTGATTTTGTTTTGAAATGACCTATAATTATCTATTTAACATAAACTATTGTGATTTAAAATAGATTTTTAAGACTGTATTTCTATTTACCATGAGAGGAATTAAATCCTTATATTGTATCACGAAACTATTCATCTTCTACTAATTTATCAACCTTAAAAGCATAAACAAAACGGTAATGCATGATTAAGAAATAAATTCATTAATTAGTAGTTTATTTACAAAAATTATGCGGCTCCTTACGCTAATTAAATAACAAAACAATTCATTTTTATCAATCTAGATATTCCTAATAAAATCGAGAGTCAAAAATTCAAAGTTTAGGAAACAAGAAACCTTCTAATTTTATTTGTACTACCAATATGGTAAGTATGTCGACATACAGTAAACACGTAAATCCCACATGCCAAACCTTAAGGGATTCACTTTCCTTATTGCTAGTTACCAAAATATTAGTAAAATCATAACAAAACAAACATTTTCCTCTACCCACTTCCAAAAATGCCAAAAACCTAGTATCATAAAAAATAATTAGATTACTACCGATCACGTACGCTTAACTATTTATATTGTTTCTTATAATACAGAATATGATCGATCGCATATCTCACACTTACGTTAATATTTTTCCTTATAATACAAAAGCAGTATAAGATTTGAATTAAAAAATTAATACGTACCCTCAAAATATTGAGCCTATAATGATTACTCACACCAAAGTATTGCTACCAATCACGTTTTTTGTTTTTATTGTTTCTTTATAGTACAAAAAATACTATAATATTTGATTAAAAAATTAATACGTACCCCCCAAATCCTGAGCTTAGAATAATTAATCACATAATAAGCCATCGCGAACCGGGTCTGGTTCTCCGGCGGGTAAACCGGGTCGATCTCCTTGACGACACACCCTTGCTCCTCCAGAATCCGGCGGTTCTCCGCCGGCACGTCCGCCAGCTAACGCCACCACCAAAGCGGTAGGCGACCCTTCCTCAGCCCCTTCGCTAAGCCCACCACCCCTTTGTAGTAGTCGCCGGCTCCGGCGAGGAACGTGACGTAAGCGTACTTCGGATTTAGTCGGACCGGGTTTGGGGTTTTGAACCCGGTTCGGGTTTTGGTGGCAGCGACTTCAGGCTCCATTCGCGTGGAAAAGTCAAAAGGGAATCTTTTCTCCCAGGAATCTTTTCTCGGGTTCGTGCGTCGGACTGTGAACTGTGGGGGTTTAAATAGGGAATTATGGGCGCTTGAAATTACGAAGAGGGGTAGGGGGGGATAGTTGGAACGTAGGGTTGGCCGAAGGCTCTGGAGAGGGGTAATTTGGGAAAATGGAGGGAAGGGTTTAGAAGAGTCTGGCGGAGACTTCCGTTTCTTTTGGGAAGAGTGGGCCCGGTGACGGAGATTACTAATCTCAGCCGTGGATTTTGCATGGGAGAGGGTGGTAGGAGTTTCTGGAAATAGCTCGATTGTTGAGACTTTATTGTGGAAGTATAAAGACGTGTTTTCTTTTAAGGGGCAATTTGTTTGCTCAAAAAGAGAGAGAAACAGAGGATTTGAAATATAGAATTTTAATTTCTAGACATTTTCATTATTATCTTTTGGTTGCTTTTGTCAAAATTGATTGCCTCACCTAAAATGGGATGAGGGTGCCAACATCAGATTTTGTAGAAAACCCAATTCAGACCAAGAGTAGCTAAAATGGGTGAAAATTGACACATCACTGAATATTTAATTGCTAGGTTCACTGTTGAAACGACGACGACGGGAAGGTAAAGAGTAATATTTAATGTCCCGTTGCTGAATATTTAATTAAAAAACTCATTTGATTTCTTAACTTTTGGATGTTCAAACAAACCCAAGAAATGAGAAACAATGTTTTCCAGCCTATGATTTCAATGTGAAACAAACCAAACAAGTCAAATGTGGGAAACCCTCTGAAATGTCCAGAAATAATTTTCAAACTAGTTTTCTGTTTTCTTTTTTTTCGAAAATGTACCAAACAGACCTTAAAGGTAATTTTGGTTTAGATTTTAAATGAATTGTTCTTTTGCTAAATAGGTTAAGTTTATTCGATTTTCCAAGAGAGAAATGAATAACAAGTTGGTCCATTATGATTTATACTAATTTCTCACCTTACATATCATCTCTTTCTCGCGCATCTTTTAATGAGTGTTCATGGGCTTCAATATAGGTCATCTTGTTGTCCTCCACAAGCTATAAGGAACATTGAATTAGTATTAGCTGATAGCTTATTTTGCTAAATAAATTATGTAGCAGTAATCTGAATGCACATAGATCTCATTCACTCTGGATAACTCATTTTAATTATGATTGATTTTGCAAATTGAGTCCAGGACTCATATGCTATATAATTTATCATAAATTTGTTTGTATTCCTGAAACACTCCATCTAAAATTTTCTAAATTATATTCATTTTTAATTTTATTTTGAAATGATTTTTAATTATTTATTTAACAATAAACTATTGTGGCTTAAAATTGATTCTAGAGTGTATTTGTTTATCTACTATGAAGAGGAGTTGAACCCTTATATCACGAAACTATTCATATTTTTCTAATTTATCAACCTTAAAAAATACAAATAATATGATGTAAATAAAAAATGACACTGATTAAAAAAATGAATTCGTCAATAGTTATTTACTATGAAGATTATTTAAATTCTTATACTAAGGGGCTGTTTGGTTTGATTTCTATAAATAAAAAAAAGGAAAAAAAGAAGTACCCAAAAATTAATTTCCTTGTATTTCTGTAAAAGTTTGTAGAAAAAAATTATATAATTCAAAAAGTACTATTTTTCTTGTTTCTTGCTATTTTTTTTTTGGTTCAAAACATGAAAATGAGTTCCTAACTTTATAGAAAATATGTTGTTTTTTCTTTTGTTTGCTTGGATATGAATATTTTATGAAAAGTGTAACCCATACAAGAATTTTTACAATGGCTAGTTTAAAGACTAGTTTGGTATAAATTGACATTATAAAACTGCTTCCACCCTCAATTTGCTATGAAAAAAAAAATTCAAGTTAAGAAGGCTCACCTTAGGGGAAAAAACAAGAGTAAGAAAGGTAGAGATATTAGCGAATCTTCAGCTACACCGCCATCAAAGGTAAGAATTATGAAATAAAAAAATCCTATAAAATTTCTATGTTTTTTCTAATGTCAAAATACTTTGTGTTTTTAATATTAGCGTGCTCGCGACCCCACTTTTGAGGAATATATTTCTTATACAAATGAAGATCGAGAGCGTGATGAGATAGATGATTTAATTGAATTAGCAGAAATAATGTTAAGGGCTAATGCTTTGAAAGTTAGAGACCAAAATGGTTGGTGGAAATGTCCCTACTACATGAATATGACCAACATGAATTGGAACAAGAATGATATCTTAACGCATGCATAAGAAATTGGTCATGGTGGCACTGTGACCAATATGAGTAAGGAGGGTATTGTCGAGCATCGTGGCTATAAATTTATTTACGATGGTTAGGTTGAAAGCAATGAGCAAAAAAAATTTTATGTAGTACTTAGCTATTTTCATCAAGTTAAGAAGGCTCACCTTCGTGAACATGATGATCATAATTTTAGTGCATGTAAATTGGCTCAGTTATACGTCTTTTGTCAAAATTGATTGCCTCACCTAAAATGGGATGAGGGTGCCAACATCAGATTTTGTAGAAAACCCAATTCAGACCAAGATTAGATGAAATGGGTGAAAATTGACACATCACTGAATATTTAATTGCTAGGTTCACTGTTGAAACGGCGATTGGAAGGTAAAGAGTAATATTTAATGTCCCGTTGCTGAATATTTAATTGAAAAACTCATTTGATTTCTTAACTTTTGGATGTTCATGTTGATTGATGGATCACGTGGGGGGATCACAAGAGTCCATGAGCGCAGGTGTTGACGTGGGAGAATTGCAGAAACGCTGAAGCACGTGTGGGGGCCGCGCGAAGTGTGAATGCGGTCTCGTTTCCAATTGGGAGGCTAGGATGCGTGGGGGCCACATCACATGAGGTGTTGAGGTGTTTATTTTGCTCGCGATTTCCGGCCCACCCGAACTTTGCCTACAGCTAGCCTATAAAACCCTTGTCTAGGGTTTCGTGAAAGCGTGCGAAGTGAGGGGGCAGCAAGGTGGATTCCTTTTTTCGGCGGCTTTGTTTCTTGGAGAAAACACAGCAAAGAAAAAGGGTTTTGTGAAGAGAGAGAAAATATTTGGAGGCTGACCTTTTCTTGTGAAGAAAAGCAAGGAGCCTATTTGAGGGTTTAGATTGTGAGAGTTGTAAACCCATTGTATTCTTTTTCTCTTTAATAGTAGATCTCCCCCTCCTTGCCCCGTGGACGTAGGCAGTTTGCCGAACCACGTAAAAATTGATTGTTTGAGTTTGTGGCCATTGTAATAGTTTTTAGGATCCCTCGACGCGCAGTCCTAGAGCTGACGAGAGGAAGAGCAAATATCCCACTTTGATGGGATATTAGGCTTTCAGATTCTTGTTCCCTTTGAGAAACAAGAATTCTTATCGATCTTTCTCTCTTATTGTGCACCAGAAACTCTGCCGAAATTTCCGCTGCGCACAACAAGTGGTATCAGAGCCCAGATTCCAGATCTAGGGTTTGGTTGGAGGAGTAGATCAATTTGGAGGCCCGTTTAGGACTTCGTTGGTGATAAAGGTGGGATCTTTTGGTAAAGACTCTATCTTTCAGTTTTGGATCTATTCTTTGTTCGTTGGTGCGTAAGATGTCGGGGAAAGAAGGTGCTTCGGGTGTCGAGGGTGGTTCTTCTGGCGTGAAGACCATTCAGAGTTTGAATATATACTCTATGAAGATAGATGTGGAGAAATTTAATGGTACAAATAATTTTGGATTATGGAGATGCGAGGTTTTGGATGCGCTGAACGCGCAGAATTTGGAGGATACCTTGGAGTTAGATGGCAAGCCAGATGAGATTGAAGAGAAGGTTTGGAAAAAGATGAATCGAACGGCGTGTGGTGTGATTAGGTCTTGTTTGACTCAAGATCTAAAATATGATGTGATGAATGAGACTTCTGCGAAGAAGATTTGGGAGATTCTCGAAAGCAAGTATTTGACCAAGAGTGTGAAAAATCGCTTGCATTTGAAGAGGAGGCGGATTTGGCGAATGTGGATGTCAAGATTGAAGATGAGGACAAGGCGTTGCTGTTGTTGAGTTCCTTGCCCGACGAGGAATATGAGACCTTCGTTCTTACTCTGATTAATGGGAAGGCATCACTTTCGTATAGTGAGGTCACCGCTGCACTTGTGAATTATCAGCTTCGAAAGAAGGATAAGGAGGCTTCGGTTGAGCCGGTAGCGGAGGCGTTGGTCGCAAGAGGGAAGGGTCCAAACCGAAAGAATTGGAAGTCACAGTCTAGAGTAGGAAAAGATCAGTGTGCTTGGTGCAAGGAGACTGGTCATTGGAAGAAAGACTGCCCAAAGCTCGACGAATGGATGAAGAATAAGCAGAAGGGAAAAGGGAAGCAACCATCATCAGAAGCAAACATCGTATCGGATGGTAATAATTCTGACTCTTCTATTTATTCGCTTTCTATCAGTCCTACAGATAGCTATTCGGAGGAATCTGAATGGATGTTGGATAGTGGTGCGACCTATCATGTGTGCCCTAGAAGGGAATGGTTCTTCAGTTTTGAGAAGCTGGTGGATAGTGGTGTGGTGTACATGGCTGATAACCGTGCATGCCAGATCCTTGGGATAGGAAGAATTCGCATAAAGATGTTTGACGGGACTGTTAGAGAGTTAAACGATGTGAGATATGTTCCTTCTTTGAGGAAGAACTTGATCTCGATTGGAGCTTTGGTTGGAGAGGGTCTGAAGGTTCGTGCTGAGGACATGGTTCTCGAGATTGCGAGAGACTCTCGTATTTTGATGAAGGGCGTCAGGAGAAATAACCTGTATTACTTGACTGGAGGTATAGTGGCAGGTGGAGAGCTGACGTCTTCTGTTGATTCGACTAGACTGCGGCATTTGGGGGTTGACCATTCCAGTATTGATTCCTCGCATAGATTGAAAGAGGGTGTAAAGACCTGCGGTTTGAAGTCCAGTGAACATGTTAATGTGAGCAAGAAGACCGAGGTGAAGTTTGGCA